TAAATATATAATAATATTATTAAAAAATAAATTAGAATATATAAAATAAAAATAAAATGAGTTAATAATTTAAAAATTGAAAGAATAAAATATAATAAATATTATTTAAATAAATTATTAAAAATATAAAATATAAAAAATTGTACCGGTATCTTCTCAAATAAGATGGGTATCATAAAATTTTTCTTTTTTTATTACTATCATGTAAATTAAAGATGAAAGTTCAATCTTTCATGGGAACTAGAGTTGTGCTAATTATTTAGGGTAATAATAAATAATTTGTCGGATTAAGATGAGAAATGCAAAAGGAGAAAGAATGTGATTTGTTGAAACTAACCCGTCAAGCAGATGAAGAAGAGCCTCCAAGTTATGAGCACAGACAGCATCCGCATTAGGGTTAAGAAACGGCGACTTCTTGTGGTCCAACGCCAGCTCCACCCCAACATGGGAGTAGCTCCACGGCAGCCCCTCCGCCACCTTCATCAGCGCCGCCGGCAACTGCTCATTAAAGACCACCCCAGGCGCCTTAGGCACCACATCGTGGAGGTTCACCACCCTCAACACCTTCACCCCCAGCCCCACCTCCAACCTCTCCCTGAACCTCATGTTCCCCACCCTGGGCCCCGAAAACGACACCACCGATACCAAAACGCCCCTGCTATCCCCCATCACGTTCACCCCCGTCTCCACAATATCGTAAGCGCTCAGAATCGCCAACGCACTCCCCAAACTGTGTCCCGTTATCGTAATACTAACTTCCTCGTTGCTATACATCTCCAACAATCTCTTCACCTCGGTTAGAACTTGCTCTCTTGCCGAGTACTTGCAGTAACCGCAGTTTTCTTCTCGGTCCGTGTAGAGATCAAGAAACCCTGATTCCACCTTGACCGTTTCGTCAGGGCAGGGCACGCCGTTGGATGAGATTGGCTTGAGGAAATCCTTGAGGTCCGCCACCCACTCGAGGCGCGTGACGGTGCCGCGCCAGGCGATGGTGATGGCGCGGCGGCCGAGGCGGCGCGACGTGGCGTCGTCGGAAACGGCGACGTAGCCGGCCCAGTTGGCGTGCTTGCTCCACATCTTGGACCAGCGTGAGTGGTTGAAGAAGTTGGGGAGGTTTATATTGGCAGTGGCGTAGAGGTAGCGGGTGACGTGGTAGCCGATGTGGGACATGTGGAGGGAGGGGAAAAAAGCGCGCGGGGTGAACCTGCAGCTGCCGCAGTACTTTGAGAAGGGGTCGAAGTCGAAGGCGTCGTAGCAGGCCTGGGCCATCTCTCCATAGCGGATTAATTCCGCCCGGAGGAGAGGGTCCATGGGCTCCAGAAGGCCGGCCCAGTCGCTCTCTCCCTGGATTTGGCGCCACGCTTCCGGGAGTCGCTTTAGCTGCTCCTCTAACTTGGGCTTGTAGTTCACGAGGGAGGCTGAGGAGTTGTCACGTGCCGCGAGTTTTATTGGCATGTGGGTTCGCGTGTTTGGTCTTGGGAACTTCCGGTGGGGTAGTCGGAGGCTAGCTTCCTGCGTTTTGGAGAAGGGAATGAGTGTCTTTGAGATTGATGTCGATGTCGCCATGTTGTTCAGACTCTAATCACACCAACAACTGAGGAAGAGGAGGAGGACAATACGAGTCTAGTCTACGTACCCATCCGAGTGTATTTTATATGTTGTACTTCCATTTAATTTCTTACCTAATTTCTCCCCTAAATCATTTAATGGACAATAATAGTTCAACTATACTCATCAAGACTATTACTTATATGCTAAAGCACAAAAGTTATACATATATATGTAATACAGTTCTTTTTAAGTATGTTTTTATTGTTCTCACGTTATAATTGGAGTTTTATTTTAATTTGCATAATTTTTTTAATGTAAGTATTTATTACATGGACTATTGAGATTAAAAAAAATCAATTTTAATTAAAGAAAAATAAATATAATATTGTACATTAATATGTTTTCACAATTTTAAAAGTCATTAATTAGTTCAAGTGGTTTAGTATTTGTTTTTTTAATCAAAACTCTAGTCGATCTTTGCCTTATATTTAGAGACAAAACCAAAAGTATCATTTTACTATAAAAAAAATGGTGCTATTATTTTAAAGAAAAAATTAATCATGTTCCTTTCCTTAAAAAATGGGGCACATGGAAATGGATAAATAAAAAGACAGGTAATTTCAATTTTAATAAAATGTTACTATGTTAGCATGAATTGACAAAAAAAAATAAAAACTCAGACGTATTTTTTTTTAAGAAGTTTGGTTATTATTTTCAATCAAAATCGTAGTTTTATCTTAAAAACACATGCATAACTCAATAAAGATTGATGTTGGTTAATTACGTAAGTGGAATTATAATTTCAATTAAAAAATAATAACGTCAAAACTGTTGTAAAGCTTTATGGGTTAAAGATTTAGTAAAAACATTTGCGTCCTTCTGTGTCAGTTTGAAATTTACTTAAATTATAGTTATCCAAAATGCCACTTGGTGTTGGTGGACATCTTAATTTCTCTAAATAAAATATATTCCTAAGAGCCAGCTAGCTGACTAAGTATAACAGAGTAAAACCGTTAACAACTTATTATGTTGTCCTTCTATCAACCCTAAACCCAAAATCATATTCCAGACACAATTCTAAATCTTCAAAATTAATTTTAAGGATTGAAAGCCACTCGACTTTCAGCAGTACAAAATTTGATTCACTTCATTAGCAAAAATGGTTTGTGCAAATGCAACAACCAACAATTCAGTTATAATGATTAATTGGGTTGCTCCATCTCAACGTGGATCTAAGACCCTAAATTAGAGGAGTAATTTTTTTAAAGGAAATAAAAATTAATAGTAATTATTATTATATATATATATATAATTAAATATATATATATATATATCAAAAATAATCATCAGTAAATTTAATATATAAAATTAAAAATATAAAATATAATATTTTTAAATATATACACTAATAATTTAATTAAAATAAAAAAAATACATCTATTTATGTTTTAATAATAATTGAAAGATAATGTAAATGTTGAAGTAAATTACAAAATGATGACAAAATAAAAAGACAAAAAGATGCACGTTAGTTTAAATTGTGCTACTTTGTGACCTTGAGTTGTTGCACTAAAATTAAGATTGGAAATTGTGATTATAAGTGTATTGTCATATATATTATAATTTATATTTTTTTTATAAATAAAATAGAATTAATAAGAGTATAAAGGGTACTCTAACCTATATACATAAAGTATTTTTAAAAAAATAAATAAAGAAAGTTAATATAACTCACGTTAACCCAAAAGTTCACAAAATGGGTGACTTAATTAACTTATATCCAACAAGTTTCTCATATCCCAGAAAGCTAACGGCCAATGTGCAATATTATGAAAGACAGACACTAGGAGAATTGGACCAAGAAAAGAAATCATAATTGAAAGAAGAGAATCTGGCCCTTAACCATCTCCATGAGCGTAATTGCACCAGATTTATAGCATTTTAGAAACAGGAATTATTTTAGAGCTGAATATGAGATCATTTCTAGCCAGCCAGATGGTCCAAATAACAGATAACCAGATAAGAATCCAATAGTTATGATACTTCGCAGAACAATAACGAAGCCCATATAAAACTATTTCAAGTTTTGCACACAACAATTATGCATAACAGAATTTAATCCTAACCAAATGAAGTAGGTCATCAAGAGCTGAAAAGAAACCTCACACTCCAACTGTGATGCTTGCAGAACACCTCTTCTAAACAAATTATCTTTAGTTGGGATTCTAATGAAAATAACCCTCCAAGCAAAAGCTAAAACTTTTGTTGGAGCAATGCTAGTCCATATCCACCAAAATATGATATTAGATACAAATATTATGTCATTATAAGTCGAGCTAATTGTATACACCCCTTCTGGTGCAGCAATCCATGACCATTTATCTTCATCAAAAACAATGAATTTTGTAATGTTGATAAAATTAACAAGAGTATTCAGAAGTTGTTGCTCTCAGGCCAATAATCTTCTTCTCCAGGTCCACTTCCATTTAGCCACAACCCCCTCCCATTCAAACATTTCAGCAATAGAAGCATTTTTATTAACTACTATTTGATATAATTGACTAAATCTATGTGCTAGAATTCCATGACCCACCCATTTATCCAACCAAAACTTAGTGTCTACCCCATTTCCAATGACTTTACAACAATTACTGGACAACCACTCATTACTCACCAAATCCCCATCTTCAATTCTATTTAAATCTACCCACCACCTTGAACCCTTTACACCACTCCCATTTGACAAATGTAATGCGACACCGTATAATGAACTAATAACTCTCACCCAAAGACTGTTTTTCTCCACTAACATTCTCCAATGCCATTTTCCCAAAACTGCTAAATTAAAAGCCGACAAATCTTTAATCCCCAACCCACCATGGTTTTTGTCTCTACACACAACATCTCAAGCTACCCAATTTATTTTTCTGTTATCTTGATCCCCACCCCATAAAAAAGATTTAAACAAAGATTCAATGGAAGAGATGATAACTTCGGGAGCCTTGAAGAAGGAAAGAAAATAAATCGTGATAGAGTGTAGGACAGACTTTAGGAGAGCAATTCTACCACCAAAGGATAAAGTTGTACACTTCCATCGAGAGAGACGTTTTTTAACCTTTTCAATGACCGGATGCCAAGTAGAAATCATCCTATGATTTGCCCTAATAGGTAACCCAAGGTAGGAGAAAGGAGTGGAACCTACCTGGCAATGTAAAATAGAAGCCATTATTTGCAACCATTGTGACTCTACATTATACCCCATGAGCATGCTTTTGGAAAAGTTAACCTTCAACCCTGATGCAAGTTCAAACAACCTTAAAATTGATTTGATGGTCCATATATTTGAATAAGAAGCTTGTCCCATAATGAGAGTATCATCAGCATATTGCAAGATATTAACCTGTACTTTATCCTTACCCACTAAACACCCCTTGAACCTTTCTAACTAGCTGGCTTTATTGAACAACATGAATAGGCCTTCTACTACAATCAGAAACAAGAAAGGAGCCAATGGATCTCCTTGACGTAACCCTTCGATACACCAAATTCTTCTGTTGGGCTACCATTTACTAATACATAAATTATAGATATTTTTAGGCATTCCGCAATCCAGTACACCACAAAGTAGGAAATCTCATCTTACACATCACAAATTGTAGACAGGACCAACTCACAGAGTCGTAGGCCTTTTCAAAATCAACCTTGAACATTATACATTTTCTCTTCTTCCTCCTTACTTCCTCCACCACCTCATTAGCCACCAAAACGCTATCCAAAATCTATTTTTCTTTAATAAAGACTGATTGACAATTAGATATAACACTGGCAATTACCATCCATAGTCTATTAACAAGAATTTTAGACAAAACTTTATAAAGACAACCAATAAAAGAGATTGGTCTAAAATTCTCAATACTTCATGACAATCTTTCTTCATAACCAAGACAATAAATTACAAATTGGGACTAAAAATAGGTAACAATGATGCCAAAAGAAGTTTGAATAAAAAGCATATACTCATACTCATATACATTATAAATACGAATCACATAATAATTTGGTTTGATTTTGGATTGTATCGATTCTCACAAGCAGAACTGAAATCTAATTTAATCCAAATTTTTATTTTATTTTTGCGGTTTTATTTTTATTTTTTGGTTCATAGATTTTCCAGCTATCAAATTTTTTTTTTATCGGCTGACATATATTGAATTGTATCGACCAGCAAACACCTCCAATGAATTAATTAATGGAAAAAAGATGGAAAGTAATTTAGATTTCACATGGCGCACATGTAACATTCTACATGTCACGCTTACAATTTTTTACATAATGGACCTTTTATTTATAAAAAAAATGTTTTGTATTTCCCAAGGCATGTCAGGTGAGAGTAGTTTGGAACAATTTTTTTATAAAATTAGAAATAACATGGCGAGTGTGTATTAAATGGTAAATTTTGTAGCGAGGAGATTAGTCACTGCTGTCAACGGTGGATACTCCAGAGACGAACAAAAAAAAATGGTAAATTTTGTAGTTGAATGAAAATGTTATTGGTGAAATTAATCATTGCAAAATTCCATGAAATGGTATGATTTGAATGGATATGATTTTTGGTGGAAAATCGGAAATAAGTGATTTCATAAATATACATTACTTTTAATTAATGTAATGAAATATCAAATAAATTTTAAATTTTTTAAAAATTTGTAGACCTCATAATTTATATTGAATTTCAATGCAATACAATTGTTAAATAAAATATTTTTAATAAATAAATAAATTCTAAATTTTTTTATAAATTTTGAATATTATATGATATTTTATTATATAGAATCAAATTAAAATATAATAATTATTTTCATGAATTATATATTAATTTGAATTAATTTAACAAAGTATTAAATAATTTTAAAATAAAAAAACTATAAATTTAATCTATTCATTAATATTATATCTAATTCTAATTATTAATTAGCAATAAATTGAATTTTTTCTTTAGTTCTAATTATAAATAATAGTCATTAATTTTTGAAGTTACTCAAAGTTATATTTTTTTATATTTTTCATTTATTGTTAATTCTATTTTTTATATATTCAATTATAACTAACATTAAATATGACAATTACTTAAAGCGATGATATATTTAGAATAAAAC